ACCCGAAACGTTAACTCTGTTTTCTCCTCCACAGATGCTGCCAGACCTGTTGAGCTTTTCCAGCAACTTTGTTTTTGTTCCTGATTTACAGCATCCGCAGTTCTTTTGGTTTGTATCATGCTCTCTCTGAGTTCACAAACCTGCCATCATCGCTACATCTCTATCTTCATGTAAATTTCCCAGCCAACTACGCCACTATCAAATACCTTTTCTGAAATCCAGCACAGAATAAGCAGAAGTACCTTCCAACTGTACATTAGAAAGACTGAAACTATCATCTCTCTCTATGGCAATTTCTGAGACTAAACCAAACTGTTCACAACCCTGGTGTAACATTTGACCCAAAGATGAACTTCCAATCATGCATCTGTGCCATTGCTAAAAATGCCCATTTCCACCTTCATAATATAACTATATTAACAGCATGGAGTTGCAATCAGTTGTACATACTCAAACAGAACAACTGAAACACACAATAATGTGCTCTGTACAGCCAGGAGACAAAATTACTGGATTTGTTGTTAAATGCATGACTTAATTTATAAACTTTGGCCAGGACAACAGACTACTGCACTGCATATCCAGGTCAGAGACAAAACGGGCCTCAATTTAATGTTTATTTTGACATATCTTTTGTAATGCAGCACATGTTCAATACCACACTGAAGGATCAGTGTTGGGGAATGTAAGACCATATGACATAGGAGCAGAAATTAGGCCTTTAGCCCATCGAGTCTGCTCCACCATTCAATCATGGCTGATAAGGTCCTCAACCTCATTCTCCCGCTTTCCCCCCGTAACCCTTGATCCCCTTGATAATCAAGAACCTATCTATCTCAGTCTTTAATATACTGAATTCCCCCATCATCCTTCTAAACTCCAATGAGTATAGTCCCAGAGTCCTCAAACGTTCCTCATATGTTAAGCTTTCTATTCCTGGAACCATTCTCGTGAACATCCCCTGAACCCGCTCCAGGGCCAGTACATCCTTCCTGAGATATGGGGCCCAAAACTGCATACAATACTCCAAATGTGGCCTGACCAGAGCCTTATAAAGCCTCAGTAGTACATCCCTGCTTTTATATTCAAGTCCTCCCAAAATAAATGCCAACATTGCATTTGCCTTCCTGACTACTGACTCAATCTGCAGGTTTACCTTGACAGAATCCTGGACTAGAACTCCCAAGTTTCTTTGCACTTCAGACTTCTGAATTTTCTCCCCATTTAGAAAATAGTCCATGCTTTTATTCTTCTTACCAAAGTGCATGACCTCACACTTTCCCACATTGTACTCCATCTGCCACTTCTTTGCCCACTCTCCTAACCTGTCCAAATCCTTCTACAGCCTCCCCACCTCCTCAATACTACCTGTCCCTCTACCTATCTTTGTATCGTCTGCAAACTTAACCAGAATGCCCACAGTTCCTTTATCTAGGTCACTAATGTATAAAGTGAAAAGTTGTGGTCCCAACACTGACCCTTGCGGAACACCACTTGTCACCGGCTGCCATCCTGAGACGAACCCTTTTATCACCACTCTCTGCTTTCTGCCAGACAGCCAATCTTCTATCCATGCTAGCACCTTGCCTCGAACACCATGAGCCCTTATCTTACTCAGCAGCCTCCTGTGCAGCACCTTGTCAAAGGCCTTCTTGAAGTCCAGGTAGATAACATCCATTGGCTCTCCGTGGTCTACCCTGCTCATTACTTCCTCGAAGAATTCTAGCAGATTTGTCAGGCATGACCTCCCCTTGATGAAACCATGCTGACTTTGCCCTACTTTACCATATACTTCCAAATATTCAGAAATCTCATTTTTTACAATAGACTCCAAAATTTTACCCACGACTGAGGCTAGGCTAATCGGCCTGTAATTTTCCATCTTTTGCCTTACTCCCTTTTTAAACAGGGGTGTCCCGTTAGCAATTTTTCAGTCCTCTGGGGCCCTCCCTGACTCCAGCAATGTGATATTTTCATTTGAGGCAGAGTTGAGAGCAATTGTTTCTGTTTAAGATGAGCAGAGAAGCTCTTTCTACTTAAGAGGACAATACTAACGTAGTAACAGCAGCTTACATTTATACACTGCCTTCATTGAAACAAAAGGACTTATGGTACTTCACAAGTGCATTATCAAACAAAGTATGACAGCAAGATATGAGGTCAGTTGACCAAAAGCTTGGCCAAAGACACAGTTTTAAAGGTAGGTCTTAAAAGAGGAAATCAAGGTAAAGAGGCAGAGGGATAGGGAGGATAGTTTAAAACATAGGACTCTTGAACTGACAGCATGCCCACAAACATTGAAACAATTAAAATTACGAATGCAGAAGAGGTTAGGACTAGAAGAGCAAAGATATCCTGGAGTGGTCTGGGGCTGGAGGAGAAGATTTCAAAATTATAGAGGCGCAAGGCCATGTAGGCAAAAGAAAACAAGAACAAGAATTTGAATATCTGATGATTGATCGATCAAGACATTGTTTAACTGGAAACAATGGAATTCAGTAAGCACTGGGGATAGGGGAATGATTCTCTGTGCAAATGATGCTACAAGCAGCACAGCTTTGGGTGATCTCAAGTTTGCTGAAGGCAGACTGTGGGAGACCAATTTGAAGTATATTATTATAATTCATTCACAGGATGGGGACATCACTGAGGAAGTATTTATTGCCCATTAGATGGCAGTGGTGAGCAGTATGCTTGAACTACGGTAGTCCATATGGTGCAGGGGTTACCTCACAGTGCTGGCAGGGATAGGGTTCCAGGTTTTTGACCCTGTGAGTGAAGAGTGGCAATATAGCTGCAAGTTAGGATGGTGGATGGTCTGGAAGAGAAATTACAAGTGGGGCTGTTTGCATGTACTTTCTGCCATCGTCATTCTAGGCAGTAAAAGCTCCAGAAACCAACAGAAAGAGAAACTCAGCAGGGCTAGTAACATCTGTGGAGACAGAAACAGAATTAATGTTTTGAGACACTTCTTTGGAACCCGTTCCATCAAATGCTTCTGGCTGAAGCTACTTACAAATGCTTTGGCCTAATCTTTTTCATTGATGTGCAGTGTTATCGGGATATTTAGTGTTTCCTCCCCCAGTGGATTGTTCAAGTGTCCACCACCATTCACAACTGGGTGCAACATGATGTGCAGAGCTTACATCTGATCTGTTGGTTGTCAGATTGCTGAGCCCTGTCTATTGCAGGCTGCTTCCAATGTTTAGCATTCAAGTTTTTCTGCATTTTACTTTTACCAAGTTGACACCTGTTTCTTTAAAGACATGCCTGGTGTTGCTCCTGGCATGCTCTCCTGCACTCTTCTTTGAGTCAAAGTTGATTCCCCTGGCTTGATAGTTTAACATGGAGAATGGATTCATCAGCTGAAAGAAAGCATTGGGTGGTAACCAGCAAGCTTCCTTGCCCATGTTTGACTTGATGCTGTGAGACTTCACATGGGCCGGAATTATGTTGAAGACTTCCGGGACAACTCCCTTTCAACTGTATACCACAGTGTTGACACCTCTAGTGGGTCTGTCCTGTCATTGGGACAGGGGACTCAAGGATGGTGATGTCAGTGTCATTGAAGGAACATATAATTCCATGAAAATGACTGTCAGGCTGTAGCCTGCCTAGTCTGTGTGGCAGCTCTCCAAATCTGTCTTTCCAAATAAGGGCAACTGTGAGAAACGACTGGTGAGGACTCTGGGAGAAGTCGGCTCACTCACCATGACTGAGAAGGGAATCATGGAGGACCTGGTGGTCA